TTTTACCATCAAATCATAACAGTAGGCCCAGCAGAAATCCATCATTAGATGAAAGTGATAAATTTGCATTTGGGCTTGAACAGCTTCAGAGGGCATAACTGAGCTATAAGAATTGGTAGCTTAGACTTTCATGGCACCCGTAAGGGTTATACTGATACTTTCATCTAAGTTCGCACTTATGGTTTCATATGGTGTTGCCTGGTATCAGCTGAAGGGGTAAGGAAAATCATGACTTTAAGTGATAAGCAGCTTAGCAGGGTATGTTAGTATGATTGGAAAGTTGACTGATACTGCACTCTGGCCCCACTGTGAATGAGGGTGGGTTCTGAAAGACAGTGATGAGAAGAAATCCTCCTAATGGGAGAGCTTTGGGTGGTCACTGACAGAATCTAATGCAATAACCATTTTCAGTGAGAATGAGTTTCCCTGGTTTTCAAATAGGAAGCAGGATTTCTGAGTAATTCACTCAAGGTCTCAAAACATCTAAGTAAGATTACAAAAGGACTCAAAATTCACACTCCCTCACCCCCTTTTCATGATAGCTAAAAAAAGAAAAAAAGAAAAAATAAAACAAACAAAGACCCTGAACTCTTCCCAGGACTTATCACAGAACTCCTATGAATGAAAATAAACTAGTGTTTCTATAAGGGAGGTGAGGACTGAAGTTTAGGTTCCACTCCAGGAACATAGTAATTTAAGAGTTGTTGACTCTGTTTCACACAAATCCTGCCAATTGTTTCTTTTATGGCTCAGCCCAGGCTCTGTAAATGATAGCCCTTTCAACAAAAGTGACCTATGTATGTTTCATGAATATCAGTATATATTCAATAAATTTAAATGTAATATATAATTTATATATAATATATAACAAAATATATATAAATTCGAAAGATTTGCCAATTTTCAAGAGGCAAAGTAAGGGAATATAACAAAAGATGAAGTGTGTTAGGTCTCTCAGAGCTACAGTTTCTTTTAAGAGGAATATTAATAATAATATGTTACATGGTTACTATGAGGATCAATTAAGATGATATTCATGAAAAAGCTTAATAAACATTGAGAGTTACATAAAGGGCCAAGCTATAAACTCCATGATCACTCAGCTAAGTCTATTTGCTCAGAACTTCATGGCTGGTTCATTCACGGTGACTAGAACTTCAGAGGCAGTAAATAAATAATATTGAAATATATTAAAATTAATAAATATTAGTAATTATTTTTAAGGTGTTGAGACCCTCATAAGAGATGTCTGCTGATTATTCATTTGTACATGATAAGCTCTCTCAGTATTAACCTCCTATTTCTGTTCTAAGTAAACAAATATGAAAAAGCTTTTGTAAATATGCCACTACTTCCTTAATCCAGTGAGCTTTTAATTATGGCAGTAATTGCATAACTAGTTCTCACTTAAGGGAATTCTGTACATACACCAAAGTGATCTTCTTTTTTTTTTTTTAAATGTTTTATTTATTTATTCATGAGAGTCAGAGAGAGAGAGCGAGGCAGAGGCAGAGGGAGAAGCAGGCTCCCCGCCTAGCAGGGAGCCCGATGTGGGGCTCGATCCCAGGACCCCAGGATCATGACCTGAGCCGAAGGCAGACGCTTAACCATCTGAGCCACCCAGGCGCCCCCCAAAGTGATCTTCTAAAACAATAACTGAGAGTAAACAAATGTTCTCTGTTTAATTTTATTTTGCTTTGAAAAAAATTATGAACTAATTAATTACTAAGTCACAGAATTTAAGTCAGAACTTCAAGAGCCAGATATCATCGTCCCTATTTGAACAAACAAACGAACAAAACAATGTTGCGGTAACTTATTTGGGGGAAAAATAGCTTTATGTTAACTAACCGGAATTAAAATAAAGACTTAAAAAAAATAGCTGCAGGGCGCCTGGGTGGCTCAGTTGGTTAAGCGACTGCCTTCGGCTCGGGTCATGATCCTGGAGTCCCGGGATCGAGTCCCACATCGGGCTTCCTGCTCAGCAGGGAGTCTGCTTCTCCCTCTGACCCTCTTCCCTCTCGTGCTTTCTATCTCTCGTTCTCTCTCTCTCTCAAATAAATAAATAAAATCTTTTAAAAAAAAATAGCTGCAATCATCAAAAAAAATGGCTGAATCCACTTGTTTTTACTATCTGGCTTGACAGCTTGTCCCATCAAAAGGGGTACCCATTTCTCTACCTTATTGAAATCTGGCCTTATGATTTGTTTTGTGATTAGAATCAGTGGAAGTGACACTGAAAAATTTTGAGTCTCAAGTGTCCTTGCCTTCTTCTGTTCATTCATTCATTCATTCATTCATTCATATTCTCTCTTCCTGTTTCTGCTTCTGCCATTTAAATAAGTCCCAGTCAACCACTAGACAATGAGAGTTCAGTTCTCCTTGCTGCAGTTCCATGGATCTGAGAGTCCAGTCATAACTAATAAGGCCACTCATTTGACCCACAGCTGACCTAGAGAGCCCTGCTGACATCAGAAGAGCTAGCCCAGCAAAGCACAGCCTTACTAGGTTAAATGCATAGTTATTGTTTTAACCCCGTAAGTTTGGGCATTGGGTGTTCTACAGCCAATAACTGATACAAAGATTTACAGAAATGTTGATTATCTGCCGTTGTGAGAGAAGAGGTTGGTTTGAAACCATGGGTTCTATTTCAAGTATGTCTGAGTTCCTGCTCCATTTCCTGTGATACATTAAAAACTTAGTGCCATGTCTAGAGTTAAATAAAAATATTTTATAAAACTTTTCCAGATATCTACATGGCCTCACTTCCTTTAGACCTCTAGTAGTTGACTGTCACCTTTACAAAAACACTTTCCTGGGCCACCGCATCTAAGACAGTGTAAAAACTCTTATCTTTGCCTTGCTTCATTTATTCCATAGCACTTACCATCACTTGAATTTACATATCTGTTTGTTTTTCTGCATCTCTTAAGCCACTACTAAAAGTTAACCTTCCCAAGGTCAGGGAGTTTATATTTTTGGCTCATGGCTCAGTTCCTAGTGCTTAGTATATTCTTAGTAGATATCAGTGGTGACAATGGATAAATCAGTATTCTCAACCAGATCCCCTAATGTTCTCCCATATACCCATGAGATCCATCAAGGTCCATCAGGAAGAACATGTCCTAGCGAACTTTCTGATTCTTTTATTTTATAGTTGCTATTTTATAGTTGCTAAATATTTTACATTATTAATTTGGAGTTTAGTTCTTTTGTGACTGCCAATTAAAGAACCTCATCCTTAATCCTTAAATCACTAATTCTACCTGATCTTAAAAAGGAAAAAAAAACAACACATTATTTTCAGTTTTTAATAAAACTCTCTAGATTAAAGCTGCATATGTAAACCTAAGTTTCCTTTTGTTTCTTAAAAAAAAAGTCATGGCTCTCTGGTACATCTATTAGATAGATCTCAATATAGATAAATCATATTATGTCATCAGTTAAACCTCTCTTTTAAACTTTACTTGAACAGATAATGGCTAAAAGGATAGGTTCTCTAGATGAATATGGTAGAACATGGTTCTTTGTTTAGCTGACTTTATAACTTTAGGGAGACAGATCTGGTTGGCTAGGAACACTAATAGATAGAAGCATAATTATCACATAAAACCTATAAAACTCAGAATGAGTTGATCTTAATATCGCTGTCCCTCCATAGCCAGTAAGAAAATCTCCATTTTACCAGAGGAATACAGAATAAAGCCATCTGGATTATTGGAGAAAAGAGCATTCAAGTGACGTAGATTAACCCGAGCCTTATTTTCCAAGGGAATAGCTCCAACCATCCAGCTAGAAAGGATGTCAATTTAGAACTCAGTTTGATGTAAAGGGAAAGAGAAGATTAAGATAATTAATTGGCATCTGACCATGTTTAAAGAGTGGGAAGGTTTGGGATGGAAAACAATCTCAGTAAATTGCATTATAATTATGAGAAGAAAACAGGGTCTATCTCATTGCCTGCAGGGAGCAAGAAATAAAGAGTCAGTATAACTTTATTCTTTATGAGGTGCTCAGAGTCTGCAAAACATTATTGCTATTGTCATCAGTTGAGAGAAAGTGATATATTAAAGAAGACTATAAATCCAATTTGTTATACTAGATATCTATAATAGACAAAAGCCATATATATATTTGTTTCCTTAAAAAAATAACCTCTGTAATAGATTATTTGCAAAAATAGCACACTTATTTTACTTTCTATAGTCAAGCCCTTTTACAATATGAGCTTGCTGTTTCTCCCATCAAGAATGAGTGTCTGTTGTTCCACCATTTGAATCTGCGTTATTTATGACTTGATTTGTTCAAAACAGTGTGGCAGATGTGACATCATGCTAGTTGACCTCATGAGACCTTGAAAACTTGTCCTGGCTCTCTTTTATCCTCACTGTGCCATGAGAACAAGCTCTTGACCAGACTTTCTGGAGGATGAGAGACTAAGTCAGAGTCCAGTTTTCACTTTTGGATGGAGAGTGTTTAGCCAATATCAGAAAAACCAGTTAGACTTATCCCAAGATAACCATTCATATGTGTGGTGCACTGAGACCTACTGGTAGTAGTTTATACTGCCTCAGGCCAAAGAACTGGCTAGTTGACCTGCAGAATGTGAGCTAATAAATAGTTTTTGTAGTAAGCCATTAAGTAGTTTGGTGCTTGGTTATGCCATAATAACTACTAATCAGACATCTAACATGATAAATTATAAAGTATAACCTGAAATAGTAACAAAGGGAATCAAGTATTTCAATTATAATAAAAACAATGTATCAGTCACTAGTGATTTTATTAATGGAATAAGTCAAAAAGTTAAAAAAAAAATCTTAAGATTTGGTCTAAATTATTGTAGTCCCAGACTAAATGCTTACCCCCAATGCTCCGGTCATCTATATTCTAGGAGTCACTATCATCAAAATATGTTATTCCTTAGCAAAGTATCCATTGATATTTCAGGATTTCAAAGCTAAAAGTGAATATAAGTCTACTTTTTTTTTTAATTGTAGAATTCTGCCAAGACCCTACTCCTAAATCAAAATGAAAACTTGAAGTCTGAAAGGTAGGTGGCGTTAGAATGATTCAACATCAGACTTTTTGTGTCATTTCAAATGTATTTGTCTATTTAGGAGAAAATTGAAATTGTAACTGATTTGAAAACAGTGAGGTAGAAATATAAGAATTCTTCTGATGCTTCATATCTTTCATGGTTTGCTCTATGCCTAGGCAGTGAAGTCAAAAATCTTTAACAGGGATTAGAAAACTTGGATTGCATGGTCTTTTGTCTGTGACTTCAGCCCTGTCTCTCATCACTGACTTTTAAGTACCTGCATGAACTTTAAGTACCCACATGAACTTCAGTCATACTAATTTGCTAACAGTTTGTCTGGCTTGTCCTATTTTGTCCTCCACCATGCCTTTAATTTCATTTCACCATCTGCCTGAAATGCATGTACCTGTTAGGTTAGTCTAGAAAACTTCTATTCATTCTTTTCATTACAGTGGAAAAACAGTGACCCTGTTCAGATTTTCAGTGAATAAGAGGAGTAACTGGAGAGTGATTGGAAGTCAGCAACAAAAAGTTATATGTAAAATAGCTTGTGATTCAAAGGAACTGAGTTTTGTTTATGTAGACAGGAAAATTTCTGGAAATTTCCATGAGGAAACAGAAGCATAGATGCTATACCTGCAAACCTTGTGGTACAGGGTACAAATAGATTCCATGTGAGAAATTATAAGTGAGCAGAGATGCCCAAATTTCAACTAAAGAAAGGACAGAGAGAAAACTTTCATAGATAATGTTGCAAACATAGGGGACTTTGCTGATAATATGTCGTGACATTCAGAGTGACAGGCAAATATTTTGGGTATAGAAAAACAAGATAGAGGGGCACCTGGGTGGCTCAGTCAGTTAAGCGTCTGCCTTCGGCTCAGGTCATGATCTCAGGGTCCTGGGATTGAGTTCCGTGTCAGGCTTTCTGCTCTGCGGAGAGCCTGTTTCTCCCTCTCCCTCTGCTGCTCCCTCTGCTCTTCTCTCTCTCTCTCGCACACATAAATAAATAAAATCTTTAAAAAAAAGAAAAAGAAAAACAAGATAGAGCAAAACAAGATAGGAGATGTTCAGATGTGGAAAGAGGATGAGAAGCTAGTGGTGACTGAGCCAGCAGAGATGTAGAACTGTACAGGATTGATTTCAGAGAATATGTAGGGAGACTTGAATGGGGTAGGGGCAGTTCTATAGCCTCTTTACAGATAGGAGATTTAGGTTGTCAGTATCATGGTTCTGGTGAAATATAGCTTCATTGTAAGAGGTATGAATGAGAGTTCTACTTTCTCCCTTAAATTGAAGTGAAGACATCTTGATAAAAGCATATGGAATTTAAGAGACAAGTGGTTGATAGTCCTGCTTTGAATATCCTCTGTTTCATGGATTCATCTTCCCAGTCAGTTTAGCAAATAAAAGTGCATTTAGAATGTTCAAAATCACCTATGTATTAAGTACAAAGATGTTGCTAGTAAGCTTCCTGCAAGGGAGTTGTTTTAAACAAGGTAGAGCTGATGAGACCAACTTAAAGATCAAATTTACTTTTTTATGTACTTGGAACATCAAAATGGCTTTGTAAATTTTAAGAGTTGTATACTTGGGATTTATTAAAATTTCAGATTGTCTGAGTCAAATGATAATCTGGAGATCATCTTTTGGAAGCCTTTCATTTTTTGGATGAAGAAAGGAAAATGGCTTCTCTAAGGCCAGCTAGTTAGATTAGCTAAGATAAATAAGATAACTAGACCTGAAATATTTTTCACCTTTTTTTAAGAACACTGATAAAGAAGAAGTGAATTCTTTTTTTTTTTTTTTTTTTTAATCTAGAGAGAGAGACCGCATGAGTGGGGAGGGGCAGAGGAGGAAGGAAGGAGAATCTTAAGCAGGCTCCACACTCAGCACAGAGCCCAACTCAGACTCAGTCCTAGCACCTGAGATCATGACCGGAGCCAGAATCAAGAGTCGGACACTTAACTGACCATGTGACCCATGTGTCCCAAGAAGTACATTTTGAAGGAAAAAGATATATAAAATGTAAATGGTCCGCCAAAGATCAGGAAAGAACCGTGAGGAAAAAAAAAAATACAGAAGCTTCTTGTATTTAAGGCTTCCAAGTTGACACAGGCTGTTGTCACGAGAAGTCAGTCTTGAGTAGAAGATTGAAGAATTTGGGTAGAAATGAATTATGGAAAGAAAATAATACTAAAGATGAGGTACACAAAATGTACAGGTAAAGAAAATGGAAGCTGGAATTCTTGATTCTGGGAGACAAAAAGATCCTTTTCTTCTCCCCCCGCTCATACCTTCACTTTATTTTCTCCATTCCTCTCCACGTAAATCACACCTTCATGCTCATTCTAAAACTCTCCTACCACTTATAAGGAGAATGGCCAGTGATGCTTTTCTAAATCCGTTTGAGCCTCAGTTTCCATATCTGTCCAAGGGACAATAATTGTACATGGCCTCTCTTCCATTTCAAGGTTTATTCTGAAGCTCAGAGAGAAGGATTGGCCATTTAATAAGGATGCTAGAATTTGGCCTAAGAAGTTTCCTCTCGGGCAAGCCAGTAATATCAAAGTCTACAGTTTCACTAAATTTAAAATCTTATACTAAATAAGATTATAATAGCGGTAAATTAATCTAAACTTTATTTCATTTGAATATATATGGTATGGTTCACTTAAATGCCTATGATAATAGAAGTAACAGCAGCAATAAAAATTCCTTGAGTCTGTTACCACTATTTGATTTGATCTTCATTGAATATGAGTTTATAATATTATTTAGATGAAAAAATTTTTCTTTTCAAATATGCAAAACCACTTCATCAGGATCACAAAACTCATCTGAAAAATTATAATTCAGATTTTAATTCGGGTTTTAATTCTGGTTTTACCTCTCATATTAATGTTTTATTGACCTCCACACACTGTGCACGATCAATAAGTGTGTATCAGTTATCTCTAACCGAGCTCTTGATATGTTTTATTCTGATTAATGCATTTATGTAAAAATAATAAATCATAATTTATAGAATTTTAGAGAAATAATTTTCTTTGATTAGATAAAAATAGTTGATAAGAACACATTTTGAAACATCACATGGACATAGATGATTTTTCAGTGTTTTCTCACAAAGTTATATTCCCTAAAGAGGCCATAATTTTTCCATATTAATTCTCAAAATACTAACTTTAAGAATGAAAGGATTATGCTAATAATGATTAAAGATGCAGTTAAAATTGAGATAAATGTTTCAAGACAATAAAACTAAAAAAAGAATCTAAACAGCACTGAATTGCATAAATGTCTGGGGAAATCTATGAATTAAGTATAGATCATCATCTCATAGTAACCTTTGATAGTTCTCATTAAAACTGCAGCAGTAGAATCTGTTAGAGGCCTCCAGAGAGATATTGTGTGTAAATGCAGAAATTAAAAAATGAATATTGAATGATCCTATTGAGAAATTAAGGCCATTCAATTGTGTTAATGGTGGTAGAGTATCAGATCTATGTTTTCATCTGTTCCTCTAAAAAGAAAATGAAAATCTACATCTAATTTACAGATTTAATAAAACACAATTCAGATACCACCTATTTTGCATAGTAATTAGCATTCAGAGTTTTATAAAGTGCTATATATAGTGTGTGTATATATATTACATGTTTATATATGTATATTATGCATGTATTTACACACACACATATACATATTTTAAAATGTCACATCTTTGGGCACTACACTTTCAACTTACAAACATAAGTTCACACTGGTAACAACATTCTATTCACCCTTTCTTGTTTAGAATAACCTGGATAATATAATCATTCAGGTCATAGATCTGCATAAAATCAGAATAAACATGGCGGCCTATTTGGAAAAAAAAAAGATTTCTAGAGGAAGGAGAAGGAAATTTACCTTTGTCACTAATAAACATTTATAGTTTTACAGAAGATTAAATAGAAGAATGCATCATAGACATTATCCAGTTTCGTCCAATATTCTATTCTTTTTTCTTTTTTTTAAACTGTGAATGATAAAGAAACAGGTTACGTGTTTTTGTACAAAATCGTGTGGCTAGTTAATGAAAGACCTCAAACTAGAACCCCGAGTCCAGGTCCTCATGCTCCATAAAGCCACATGACTATACTTATTGTCACTTTACTTTGAAGGAAGGTCAGGAATCAACCTTCATCTCAGAGAAAGATTGGTCTTGAATTTAGGAAAAAAGCTTAATGTTCCTTTGGTGTTCTTTATTAATTTGTTCTTCAACATTACAATTCCAGGCATTGCAATGGACACTGGGGATAGATGAAAAGGAATTGTCCCCTCTTCTCAGAGAGAAAAAAACCTTAACCAATAGTATAAATATTTATTTGGACCTGGTAGAGGGCACTAAGTACAAGAGTGTGGGGTTCATTGGGACTAGGAGGGGTCAGTGAAGACAGACTCACTTAAGGAGATAACATTTCAAAGGGCAGCATAATCCAGACCACATTAGAAGCAAGAATCTGGAAGTCCAAACAGAAGGGATACACAAGAACTTTTTTGTAAAGATTGCCTGGTATTTGGAAGGTTTTGCCCTAAAAATAAAGCTCTTATTGGGATCCTGCTTTTTTTTTTAAGTCATTGTTTCAATGATTGGGTTTAAATGATGGAGCAAGTAAGTACAGGTGAAAATCTACTCCTGCCTGCAGGTATTTGTGAAGAGACACGGTTCTGACATTGGCCATGATGTTTTCTCCTGGCTCAAACATCTTCAGGTGGAATTTCAGCCATGAGGCTTCCTGTATTAGGCTGTCTACTTCTTGGCAACATTATAAGCATTGGCAGAAAGAAGAGGGACATATACTTCAATACTGCCAGGCAATTATTACCTGAATGAAAACAGCTCATATTTTAGGGCCAAATTATTCCTATCATAGCAAAGTCTCTTTATGAATTCATTATGTGAATTTCAGCTTTCAAAGCAAGTTTTATAAAAATGAAATGTTTATTTTTCTGTCTGT